GGGTCTAAATGACTTGACAACAGCTGCCAGGGAGAGGATATTAAGGGAGAGGAGGAGGAGAGGGAGAGGAGGAGGGAGGAATGGGAGGAGGAGAGATAGGAGGGGGAGATAGGAGGGAGATGGGAGGGGGGGAGATAGGGAGAGGGAGGAGGAGGAGAGGAGAGAGAAGGGAGAAAGGAGGGAGGGAGAATGGGAGGGAGAGATAGAGGAGGGAGGAGATAGGGAGGGGAGAATAGAGGGAGAGATAGGAGGAGGGAGGAGAAGGAGAGGGGAGGAGGAAGGAGAAAGGAGAGGAGGGGGAGAGAGGAGGAGGGAGAAAGGGAAGGAGGGAGAGATAGGAGGGAAGGAGGAGGAGGAAGGGAGAGGAGGGGAGAAAGGGAGAGGAGGGGGAGATAGGAGGAGGGAGGAGAAGGAGGGAGGAGGAGGAGAAAGGGAGGAGGGAGAGGAGGGGTGGAGGGAGAAAGGAGAGGAGGAGGAAAAGAAGGAAAGGGGAGGAGAAAAGGAGGAGGGAGAATGGGAGGGAGGAGGAAGGAGAAAGGGAGAGGGAGAGATAGGAGGGAGGAGGGAGGAGAAAGGAGAGGAGGGAGATAGGAGGGAGAGATAGGAGGGAGGAGGAGGAGAAAGGGAGAGGAAGGAGAAAGAGGAGGAGGGAGAGATAGGAGGAGGAGGAGGAGAGAAAGGGAGGAGGGAGAGATAGGAAGGGGGAGGGAGAGATAGGAGGAGGAGGAGGAAAGGGAGAGAGGAGGGGAGATAGGAGGGAGGAGGAGGAAGAAAGGGAAGGAGGGAGAGGTAGGAGGGAGGAGGAAGGAGAAAGGGAGAGGGGGAAGGGGAGAAGGAGGGGAGGAGGAGGAGGGGAAGAAGGAGGAGGAAGAAAGGAGGAGGAGGGAGGGGGTAATAACTAAAGTAATGAAGGAGAATGAAAAGACGAGGAAGGAGGAGGAGGAGGAGGAGGAGGAGGAGGAGGAGGAGGAGGAGGAGGAGGAGGAGGAGGAAAAGAAAAATACAAAGTTAAAAAGAAAAATATAATGAACAGCAATGAAAGGAAAGACCATGATAAAAGTAACAATAGAAGGGGAGTAGAAAGTGTGATAATGGGTAGACAACACAAGGACCTGATGAGGTGGGGGAGGAAAGAATGGTGATAGGTCAGAGGTCACGCTAAATCTGGGTCAATGCAGAGAGAGAGAGAGAGAGAGAGTTGGTGTAAGGGGAGGAGGGTAGGGGAGAAGAAGGAAGTGAAAGGAAGAAGAAGGGGGAGGAGAAGGACGGGTAACGGTGGGAAGAGGGGGAAGAGGAGGAGGAGGAGGAGGAGGAGGCTGTTGCAGGACCCGTAAATAACAGTCCAGGACACGAGGGGAGGAAAGGGTGAGGGAGGTGGTGGTCACGAGAGAGAGAGAGAGAGAGAGAGAGAGAGGAGGGGTCGAGTCTGGTATACACACCTGGAGGTACACAACAGGTAATAACCCCTTCCCTCTGTAGTTAATTATCCCCATTACGTCACGACTGTGTGTGTGTGTGTGTGTGTGTGTGTGTGTGTGTGTGTGTAACTCGTCTAAAACAACTTTAACTCCCACGAAGAAAAAAATATATATTTCTCAACGACAAAATAAACTCTTAAGACTGAGACACAACAACACTAATTACGAGTGAGAAATGTCAAGAGTGATGAGAGAGAATTTGTGTCTCATTCATACTCCTGCTAGAATAAATTCTGATGTCTTAACACTGAGGAATTTATTCTAAGATATGTCTCAATTGTGTCAGGATAAATTTTACGAGTTGATGAGAAATTTCTTTAGAGATAGAGGTTTATTTCTCACTCTCACCCGCGTTAGAATAAATTTTAGAGAATATGTTGATGGGAAATTTAATCTATTAGGTTTAGAGAATATTTTTTCACACCCGCTGATGAGAAATTTATTTTATGAGAAGAAATTTATCCCTAACTCACAGCCGCATGAGAATAAATCAAAATATACAGAAGGTAGATGAGGAATGTATTCTAAAAGTGGGAATAAATCTTACGCACTAGAAAAGATCTTATATACCACGAAGAGGAGTATTTATTTTTGATATTAGAGAAGAAAAAACAATTTATTCACTCACAAGATAGAAAGAACAGGATGAGGGTTATTTTATATAATATACAGTACAAGAGATATTAATAAAAAAAAAAACAATTTATTCAGGCCGTTGGTTCATTTATAGACCTTGATTTTAATATATGCAAAAAAATTACCAAAAAAAAAAAAAGGGGGATTTGGAAAAAATTTAAAGCGAAGATTTTTATTTTCTGTTTATTGTAAAAAAAAATAATGGTTTATAATTTACGATGTTTTAGTTTTAGGTTTAAAGAAGCCAAGTCACATAAGGCAGCTGTCATTATCACCCCTGCCAGCATGCAACTAGGAAGGTCCGCTAGTTCTCAGTGCTACAGAGAGAGGGCTAGGGGGGAGGGAGGGCTAGGGAGGAGGAGGGCTGTGAGGGGGGGAGGGCAGGGAGGGAGGGGAGGGCTGGGGGAGGAGGGAGGGCTGGGGGGAGGAGGAGGGCTGGGGGAGGGAGGGGAGGCTGGGGGAGGAGGGAGGGCTGGGGGAGGGCTGGGGAGGGAGGTGGAGGAGGAGGAGGGAGTGAAGGGTAGCCTACTTCTCTCTAGGGAAACAGCTTCTACCTAACCTAACCTAACCTAACCTAACCTAACCTAACCTAACCTAACCTAACCTAACCTAACCTTAACAAAATGTCTATGTAAATATTTTCCTATCCTCAGAAGAGAAAAAAAAATTATGTATATATTTATTCTACTTTGAGAAGATGAAATATTTGCTCTATTAATGTTTCCTACACTGAGATATTAATGTTTCACTACACTGAGATATTAATGTTTCACTACACTGAGATATTAATGTTTCCTACACTGAGATATTAATGTTTCACTACACTGAGATATTAATGTTTCACTGAATATTAATGTTTCCTACACCTAGAATATTAATGTTTCTACACTGAGATATTATCTTTCACTACACAGAAGATAATGTTTACTACAGAGATATTGTGTTTCTACTACACTGAATATTAATGTTTCCTACACTGAGAATAATGTGTTTCCTACACTGAGACATGTGTGTTTCCCTACACTGAAGAATAATAATTTCCTACACACAGAGATAATGTGTTTCACTACACTGAGATATTAATGTTTCACTACACTGAGATAATTAATGTTTCCCTGCACTGAGGATATTATTTCCTACACTGAGATATTAATGTTTCCTACACTGAGATAATAATGTTTCCTGCACTGAGATATTATTACTGTTTCACCTACTGAGATATTAATGTTTTTCTGAGATATTAATGTTTCACTACACTGAGATATTAATGTTTCACTACACTGAGATATTAATGTTTCACTACACTGAGATATTAATGTTTCCTACACTGAGATATTAATGTTTCCTACACTGAGATATTAATGTTTCCTACACTGAGATATTATTGTTTCCTACACTGAGATATTAATGTTTCCTACACTGAGATATTAATGTTTCACTACACTGAGATATTAATGTTTCCTACACTGAGATATTAATGTTTCACTACACTGAGATATTATTGTTTCCTACACTGAGATATTAATGTTTCCTACACTGAGATATTAATGTTTCCTACACTGAGATATTAATGTTTCCTACACTGAGATATTATTGTTTCCTACACTGAGATATTAATGTTTCCTACACTGAGATATTATTGTTTCCTACACTGAGATATTAATGTTTCCTACACTGAGATATTAATGTTTCCTACACTGAGATATTAATGTTTCCTACACTGAGATATTATTGTTTCCTACACTGAGATATTATTGTTTCCTACACTGAGATATTAATGTTTCCTACACTGAGATATTATTGTTTCCTACACTGAGATATTATTGTTTCCTACACTGAGATATTAATGTTTCCTACACTGAGATATTAATGTTTCACTACACTGAGATATTAATGTTTCACTACACTGAGATATTAATGTTTACACACTACACTGAGATATTATGTTTCCTACACTGAGATATTAATGTTTCCTACACTGAGATATTATTGTTTCCTACACTGAGATATTAATGTTTCCTACACTGAGATATTAATGTTTCCTACACTGAGATATTAATGTTTCCTACACTGAGATATTATTGTTTCCTACACTGAGATATTAATGTTTCCTACACTGAGATATTATTGTTTCCTACACTGAGATATTAATGTTTCCTACACTGAGATATTATTGTTTCCTACACTGAGATATTAATGTTTCCTACACTGAGATATTAATGTTTCCTACACTGAGATATTAATGTTTCCTACACTGTTTCCTACACTGAGATATTATTGTTTCCTACACTGAGATATTAATGTTTCCTACACTGAGATATTATTGTTTCCTACACTGAGATATTATTGTTTCCTACACTGAGATATTAATGTTTCCTACACTGAGATATTATTGTTTCCTACACTGAGATATTAATGTTTCCTACACTGAGATATTAATGTTTCCTACACTGAGATATTAATGTTTCACTACACTGAGATATTAATGTTTCCTACACTGAGATATTAATGTTTCCTACACTGAGATATTAATGTTTCCTACACTGAGATATTATTGTTTCCTACACTGAGATATTAATGTTTCCTACACTGAGATATTAATGTTTCACTACACTGAGATATTAATGTTTCCTACACTGAGATATTAATGTTTCACTACACTGAGATATTATTGTTTCCTACACTGAGATATTAATGTTTCCTACACTGAGATATTAATGTTTCCTACACTGAGATATTAATGTTTCCTACACTGAGATATTAATGTTTCCTACACTGAGATATTAATGTTTCCTACACTGAGAACAAAAGAGGTTATGTAACAATGTGTATCCTGCCACGATCACTAGGTGTAGTGGTCATGGGTACACAGTGTTGCGTGTATACCTTTGACAGTCTTCCAGTCTATGGTCTCAGAGGACTCGAAGAAGGTGGAGGCGCCGCCATACACCTCCCGCGTCTCGGGCTCCTTCACCACAGGCTTAGGCACGTAGAAGGTCTTGCCGTTGATGCAGACGACGTTGTAGTTGTACTCCCGCATTTTCTCTCTGATCTTGGCGATGCTGGAGCCCTCTAGTGTCTCGATGGGCACCAGAGGCTCGGCCTCCCTGCACTCGTCCAGCAGGGAGTTTCTCTTGTCTATCGAGTCCTGGGTCTTGGAGGTGTCCTTGAGCGCCGGGCGACGTTCACACACGTCTACTACTCGCCTGACACCAAGGCTGGCAGGGTGTGCCCTGTCTGGGTTAGGAACTGAGGAGCTGTTCTCCGTTTTGCCGCCTTCACCAGACGTGGGGTGGTCGTCGGAGAAGCGCACAGACCTGGCCGCGGAGGTCCCCGTACTACAGTAACACGAGTCGGGTTTATCCTCTAATAACTTTCGCTTTTCAGAGTTTTCTTCTACTATCGATGTTCTTACACCACTATTGGATAACTTCACTTGCAAGGAGCGTCTGTGTTCTTTATGTCGCGGGGGCGGAAGTGGAGGAGTCCGATACAGCTTATACGGACGCACTATCTCGTATTGTCTCTCAGAGTCAGTGGCGGACACTATACTGATTTGGTCAGGAGCTTTGACCTTGAGCAAATTATCACTACCTTGAGACAGGACGGAACATCTTCCATCTTCACCCGACACGTGAATCTGCGGGACCTCCTCTTGTATGGCCACGTACTGACTTGGGTCTATCACTATCCGTTTACCCTCAGGCTCATATGGTCTTAGTACTGGTCTAGGCTTGGAGGGAGCTTCTATAGACCTGCCTGGCGCCCTCTGCATGGACGGCGGGATAACGAACTGCACCTCGCCTTCTTCGTCGGCGTCCAGGCTGCCCACACGACTCAGGATCTTCTCGCTGATGGGCTCCACGTACATGTATGCCTGGCGAGCCCTGCCTCTCGCCGCCTGCACCATCTCCGTGTTCTCGATCTCGGTGATGACGCCGCTCACCTCCTCCACGAAGCGGCTCTGTTTGATCCTCCCCACCGGCTTCTCGATGACGACGGCGGCTCGATGGACCGTCGCCCGGGCCGTCTGGGCCAGCGGGCCATTTTCCAGCTCGTCAATCGAGTCGTCGAACCGCTGGAAGATGGCTTCGCTGCGGTTCTCCAGGGCCTCGTAGGCGCTCTGGGCCGCAGAGAAAGCGGCCTGGGCCAGGTTGTCCGGCCGCCCCCGCTGGGAACCTTCGCCGTCATTGTGCGAGGCACCGCCGGCCACGCCATGGTCTCCCACGTCGAGACTGGAGGCCTTCTGGGGCGGGCGGGGCCTGGCTCTGGCCTGGGCGGTGGTGGGTACCTGGTAGTCAGACACCTTGGCACTGCCCGTCAGGCTACTGCTCCGCCGATGGGACATGGCGAGCTCTGCATGGCCATCGCTCCAGCACGGCCACTTAACACCCTCCTCAAACTAGACACACCCTCGACACACCGCCATGTTCCTACACTTCACTCTTAACTCCTCGCTCTCCCTATCTCTCTCTCTCTCTCTCTCTCTCTCCCTCAAAACAAGTCACTCACTTAAAAGAGTTTTCCTTCGTGGCGTGGCTCACTCCACCGAAAATGGGAGGAGGGAGAGATAGAAACCTGCAACTCAACAGAAATACATTAAGTTAGCACAGCACAACCTCCTGGTGATTAATGGTAGGAGGGGGTGGTGGTGGGAGGGTACACCACACTGGTATATGTTCACAACAAGAACCATTTGAAAGCACCACAGTTGTCGTCGTCGATCAATAGAACGCCCCCAGCAGACCGACGGACACGATGGCAACACTACACGGCAACCCACAGGAGACGTGTATGTTGTGTGTGTAAGGGGGGGGGGGTACCACCTGCCTGTGTGTGTGGGGCCCCTCACCCGGACCCGTCTCACCCCCCCTTGATGGTGGGCCAGGTAGGTAGCGTGTGTGGGTAAGTGTGAGACACGCTATGCTGCACTGTGCGTCCCTACTGCCGCTACACACTAATCCTCGTAACGAAATAGCACAGTGGAACAGCGGCCCTTAACCCGCTTCACGTCACAATGGGCGGGGAGGGATGGGGGGAGTTGTTGCGGCTACAAGGGGCGGCAGGAGGAGTGGAGGAAAGTAGTTAAGGGTATTAAAGGTGTTCGCTGGCGTTAAAGGGGAGCAGGTTAAGAGGGGTCACTAGTCACTTAGTGGCAATCACCATAAGTTCACTAACACCACAGTAAGCACCACAAGTTCATTAAAGTTCACTATAGTCCACCAGAGACACGTTCACTATACACTTGAGACACGATCACTATCACGCTCAATAAGACACTTGGTAAGGCATTCAGGTGTTCACTCCCGAGTCATTAACATGAAACGTTCACCAAAATTCACTTAATAACTATGGGGCGTTGAGAGCGCTGAAGGAGGGAGGCGTTCGGGAGGGCGTTAGGTGGGGAGAGGTGTAGGAGGGTGAAGGGTAGTGTCCTGCGGGTGTTGGGAGAGGCGACACTGACCACCTCACCTGGTGTTCACCGCTACACTAACTACACACACGACACAAGACTTCGACCATGGAGTTGTAGGCAGGGGGGAGGGGGTGAGGTGAGGGAGGGGGAAGGGGATGAGGTGAGGGAGGGGGAGGGAGGGGGGGGGAGACAAATCCAGCGCACTAGACGAGGTATGAAACACCCCCCTCCCCCTAGTGCCTGCGTACGCATATTTTTCATGATTTATTCACCACCGCGACTCAACAACACCTTCACCCACCCGCGACCCCCTCTGTAGAGTCACTCATTGGCTGTACCACGACGTGCGGCAGGACGTGAGGCCCACCAGGACGTGCGGTGGGACGTGCGGCTCACAACGACGTGCAGCCCACTACGACGTGCGGCCCACCACGACGTGTGGCAAGACATGCGGCCCACCACGACGTGTGGTAAGACGTGCGACAGGACGTGCATCCCACCACGACGTGCAGCCCACCACGACGTGCAGCCCACAACGACGTGCGACCCACCACGACGTGAGGCAAGATGTACGACAGGACGCGGGGCACCCTACGACGTGCAGCATGACGTGTAGCTCACCACGACATGAGGCAGAGCGTGCGGCCCACCACGAAGTGCGGTATGATGTGCGGCCCACCTCGATGTGAGGCAGGACGTGCGGCCCACCTCGATGTGAGGCAGGACGTGCGGCCCACCTCGATGTGAGGCAGGACGTGCGGCCCACCTCGATGTGAAGGGCAGGACGTGCGGCCCGCACGACATTGAGGGCATGGTGCTATATAATAGCCAGACTAACGTTAACCGGCCATCCCTCCTCCACCACCACCGCAATGACACACTAATGGAAGCTACGCCAGACTAACGTTCGCCAGCCTTCCCTCCACCCCACAATGACACACTTATGGAAGCTACGCCAGACTAACGTTCACCAGCCTTCCCTCCACCCCACAATGACACACTTATGGAAGCTACGCCAGACTAACGTTCACCAGCCTTCCCTCCACCCCACAATGACACACTTATGGAAGCTACGCCAGACTAACGTTCACCAGCCTTCCCTCCACCCCACAATGACACACTTATGGAAGCTACGCCAGACTAACGTTCACCAGCCTTCCCTCCACCACCCCACAATGACACACTTATGGAAGCTACGCCAGACTAACGTTCACCAGCCTTCCCTCCACCCCACAATGACACACTTATGGAAGCTACGCCAGACTAACGTTCGCCAACCTTCCCTCCACCCCACAATGTCACACTTATGGAAGCTACGCCAGACTAACGTTCGCCAGCCTTCCCTCCACCCCACAATGTCACACTTATGGAAGCAACGCCAGACTAATGTTCGCCAGTCTTCCCCTCCACCCCACAATGACACACCCTAGTAGCTACGCCAGACCAACATTCGCCAGCCTTCCCTCCACCCCACAATGACACACCACCTCTATGGAAGCTACGCCAGACCAACGTTCGCCAGCCTCCCTCCACCCCCACAATGACACACACTTATGAGGCTACGCCAGTCTACCGTTCGCCAGCCTTCCTCCACCCCACAATGACACACTTATGGAAGCTGCATGAATGGTTCGCTTCGCCAGCCTTCTCCTCCACCCCACAATGACACACTTGTAGCTACGCCAGACTAACATTCGCCAAAGGCCTTCCCCACCCCACAATGACACACTATGGAAGCTGGGCCGCCAGACTAACGTTTACCAGCCTCCTCCACCCCACAATGACACACTTATGGAAGCTACGCCAGACCAACGTTCACCAGCCTTCCCTCCTCCACCCTGGCCAATGATATTAATTCTATGGAAGCTGGCCAGACTAACGTTCACCAGCCTACCCTCCTCCACCCTGGCCAATGACACACTTATGGGAAGCTACGCTGCATCAATGCCTGCTCAGCCTTCCCCACCCCACAATGACACACTCATTATGGAAGCTACGCCTGACTAACGTTCACCAGCCTTCCCTCCACCCCACAATGACACATTTATGGAAGCTACGCCAGACCAATCGCCAGCCTCTCCCTCCACCCCCACAATGACACACACCATGGAAGCTACGCCTGACTAACGTTCACCAGCCTTCCCTGCACCCCACAATGACACATTATTTATGGAAGCTACGCCAGACCAACGTTCGCCAGCCTCCCTCCACCCCACAATGACACACTATGGGAAGCTGGCTGCCTGACTAACGTTCACCAGCCTCCACCCCACAATGACACATGGAGGGAAGCTACGCCAGACCAACGTTCGCCAGCTCTCCACCACACAATGACACACTATGGGAGGCTACGCATGACTAACGTTCACCAAAGCATTCCCTCCCACCACACAATGACACACTTAAGGGAAGCTACGCTGACCACGTTCACCAGCCTTCCTCTCCACCCAACAATGACACACTCCTATGGAAGCTACGCCAGACCAACGTTCGCCAGCCTTCCCTCCACCACACACAATGGCACACTTATGGAAGCTACAAACAGACTAACGTTCGCCAGCCTTCCCTCCACCACACAATGACACACTTATGGAAGCTACGCCAGACTAACGCGTTCACCAGCCTTCTCTCCGCACCTCTACAATGATACACATCACTTATGGAAGTTAGCGCCAGACTAATTGCTCACCAGCCTTCCCTCCACCCCCACAATGACACACTCCTATGGAAGCTACGCCAGACTAACGTTCACCAGCCTTCCTCCTCCACCCCACACACGACACACTTTTATGGAAGCTACGTACAGACCAAATGTTCACCAGCCTCCTCCTTCCATCACATCCCACAATGACACACTTATGGAAGCTACGCCAGACAAACGTTCACCAGCCTTCCTCCACCACCCCACAATGACACACTTATGGAAGCTGGCCAGACTAACGTTCACCAGCCTTCCCTCCACCCCACAATGACACACCTATGGAAGTACGCCAGTAGTCAACGTTCACCAGCCTTCCTCCTCCACCCCACAATGACACACTTATGAAGCTACGCCAGACCAATGTTCACCAGCCTTCCTCCTTCATCCCACAATGACACACTTATGGAAGTTGGCCAGAATTGCTGTTCACCAGCCTTCCTCCACCCCACAATGACACATTTATGGAAGCTACGCCAGACTAACGTCACCAGCCTTCCCTCCACCACACAATGACACACTTATGGGAAGCTACCCAGACCTTGTTCACCAGCCTTCCCTCCTCCACTCCACAATGACACACCCTATGGAAGCTATGCCAGACCAACGTTCACCAGCCTCCCTCCTCCACCCCACAATGACACTCTGCAGTGTAAGCACGCCCAGACCAACGTCTCACCAGCCTTCCCTCCTCCACTCCACAATGACACACACTTATGGAAGCTACGCCAGACTAACGTTCACCAGCCTTCCCTCCTCCACTCCACAATGACACACCCTATGGGAAGCTAAGTGCCACACCAACGTTCACCAGCCTTCCTCCTCCACCCCACAATGACACACACACTTATGGAAGCTACGCTAGACTATCGCTCCGCCAGCCTTCCCTCCCTCCACCCCCACAATGACACCTCCTATGGAAGCTACGCCAGACTAACGTTCACCAGCCTTCCTCCTCCACTCCACAATGACACACCCTATGGAAGCTACGCCAGACTAACGCCTCACCAGCCTTCCTCCTCCACTCCACACAATGACACACTTATGGAAGCTACAGACTAATTCCAAAGCCCACCAGCCTTCCTCCTCCACCCCACAATGACACACACACATTCCTATGGAAGCTACGCCAGACCAACGTTCACCAGCCTTCCCTCCCTCCACCCACACAATGACACACTTATGGAAGCTGCCAGACTCAATTGCTCACCACCAGCCTTCCCTCCTCCACCTCCACAATGACACACTTATGGAAGCTACGCCAGACTATCGTTCGCCAGCCTTCCCTCCTCCACCCCACAATGACACTCCTATGGAAGCTACGCCAGACCAACGTTCACCAGCCTTCCCTCCACCCCACAATGACACACAATATTTATGGAAGCACGCCAGACCATTCGCCAGCCTTCCTCCACCACACAATGACACACTCATGGAAGTACGCCAGACTAACGTCACCAG